TGGGAAATTTTTAAACTGTAATCTTAAAGTTCTTAAAAAGTATGAAACTTACCAAATGCATGCATGTTAGTTGCTTTAGTCTGAATTTCTCATAGAAGTTTAATATTTAACAGTTCAGCTTTTGGAACATCAATACAGAGATACCAGAAGAACATCAATACAGAGATACCTTGCTAACAACACTGTAAAAAGTGCAGATAAAAGCAAAATGCAGGAAGACCAGAAAAGAGAAGAGGCTTCTATATATGCACTAAAATGTAAGTGAAAGCAAGATTCTTGCAGTGGTCATATAGGACAGAAAAAACAGATGCACTGTCACAGTTTTACTTGCGTACCTTTTCTTGCTGCTTGGAACTGCTAGTGGTGGCGTTTCTGTTCATGTTCTGTTCTGCTTCCTCTTTATCTCGACACTTTTGCTCATAAGTCTTCTTCGCCTTAAAAAAAACATCCGTTGGCATTTAAAGTGTGACCAATACAACTTATGTCTAAATTTAACTATAATCTATATTCTTTGTGAGCTATAATGTGCCATCTTTATTATCATGAAAACAGAATCACACTACCACAGTACTACACTGCAAACCAAAAGTGCACACATTTCACTGAACATTTCTCATGATATCAAAAACATGGGAAAATGTAATATTATATAATAAAAAAAACACATTTATGTCAAATAAATGGTTTGTTTATTTCTAGGAAAGCGTTGTATGCAACATCACATGTGGTACTACAAAGTTTCAGTTCTTAACTAGTAAATACTGATGCATCATATGACACCTTGATGCTAATAAACTTAAGGGAAACCAACCTGAATTCACCACTTTCAAAAATGCTTCATTTAAGCTTGAATGAGAAGCTGTCTTTTTAATGAACAAAGCCATTCAGCACAGATCACTTCCCATTTTGTGCAGCTAAAATCAGGTGCACTTATTCACTTCCCTCCTGCCACTGAATCAGAACATATACTTCCCATAAAGGAAATAAGGTACCATAGAAAAGAGGGCAGCTAAACCACCTATTATAGCAACAGCACTGACAACAATATACAAACTGAGAACACTTTGCTCTCTCTTTCATACTTACCTCAGCCGTTTTCTTATATTGAGCGGCCTTCTGCTTATGAAGAGTATCCATATGCTGTTCTACCTGAAAAAAGCACAACTTTTCAATTCATATCTTCAATTTAACATCATGTACTGTAGAAAATGAAGTGTAATTTTTCCCTTGTTAAAATACTTTCTTCTATACTTCTATAACTAGTCATTTGAAGGTTGATTCACCTGAAAAGTGTAAAAACACTATCACACTATCAAAACATTGTGCTATTTGTTTTGAGAATTCCAACCATCCAGCATAGCAACACAGGCTCAACCAATGGTGTGAGTTTGGGGCGGAGCTACCTGTTTATTTGACCAATAGCAGACGAGGTGATCAGTTGATTTACCAGTGCAGATTTCCTTTGAGGCTCTTTGAAAATATTCTTTCCTGTCAGTTATTTTTGATGTCACAGCTTAGGATAGTCAAAATAGTGCAGTGTTTGAGACACTACGAGATTTTGTGGTGCCATCAGTGTTGTCATTTCCTTGCAATTGGTTGCATTTACGCCTCAGATTATTGGGTAAATATGCAACTGCGTCCAGAACTGAAAACCCATGGGATGGGAGATTTCAAATCACATACTTCCAAGAGGTCCTGCATCAGCTGAGCAACTACCAATGAGATGGATGGGAATGCTAACTATCTCCAGGTATGAAAAGTTTGAAATTAAATGCTGTTTGTACACCTTACCTTCTTCCGGGCCTCTTTCTGTTTCTCTCTGAAGTCTTCTAATTTCTTTGCTTCCTCCCTCATGGTTTGGGCCAAATGCAGATGGGACAAACTCACACTTTCTGTTTCTAAACACACATTTGAAACATAAAGGAGGGTAACAGAACATTAAACTGCAATCATGAAGTTTGCAGACAGCATTTACTTACGTAATTTGAAAACATCAAGCGATCGTTTCAGGGTGCTAAAAACAGAAAAAGAAACGTTGATGAGTAACTAATGTCCATTTTGTGCAATAAAACAATTGTAAAATTGCTGACATCAGTCACTGGTATAGGACTCAGTTAAACTTTTTTTCCCTCACCCCATAGTAAGAGGAAAGCCACTAACCACAAACCATCTACATGTGACCAACCCAGACACTGTTTAGGTTTGGACTTTGAAATGATCGAATACAGCATATCAGTACCATGTTGTTCAACCAGAACATCCAACCAGAAAAGCACAATAACTTGACATATTCACTCAAGAACCCTCTGGCTAAACAAATCAATGAATGTAACCTCTATAAAGAACACCAATAATAAGTGATGCTTGCTCAAGGTGTTGTGAGCAGTTCTACAACCTTGCTATACATTTGCTAATGAGTTTTTAAAGCACGGTCATTGTGGTTGCTTGGTTATTGTTTACTGGCTACTCAGCCTAAAACTGTCAAACTCTAAGTCTCTGATATGGCTCAGGTTCCTCATTTTATTCTGATTGCTTAAAATATTAATGGCACACCTCTCAATTAGAACCACACAATTTGATGTCCTTACTTTGGTTTACTGCTAATGAACCCAAAAAAATAATAAAAGTACTTTTACAATCCTTTCAAGAAATTGCACTTTGTAAAAGTATAACTGTAATAACTGAAATTATACATCGGTACTTACTTCATTTCACTGTGTCCACACACTTTCTTGGACAAA